AGTGGTGCTATATGATGTGGAGTGTCAGTGGTACTATGTGGTTTGGAGTATCAGTGGTACTATGTGGTGTGGAGTGTCAGTGGTACAATGTGATGTGAAGTGTCTGTGGTACTATGTGATGTGGAGTGCCAGTGATACTATGTGATGTGGAGTGTCAGTGGTTCTAAGTGATGTGGAGTGCCAGTGGTGCTATTTCATGTGGAGTGTCAGTGATACTATGTGATGTGGAGTGTCACTGGTACTATGTGATGTAGAGGGTCAGTGGTGCTATCTCATATGGATTGTCAGTGGTACTATGTGATGTGGAGTGTCAGTGGTGCTATTTCATGTGGAGTGTCAGTGGTACTATGTGATGTGGAGTGTCAGTGGTGCTATTTAATGTGGAGTGTCAGTGGTACTATTTCATGTGGAGTGTCAGTAGTACTATGTGATGTGGAGTGTCAGTGGTGCTATTTCATGTGGAGTGTCAATGGTACTATGTGGTGTGGAGTGTCAGTGGTACTATGTGATGTGGAGTGTCAGTGGTACTATTTCATGTGGAGTGTTAGAGGTACTATTTCATATGGAGTGTCAGTGGTACTATGTGATGTGGAGTGTCAGTGGTACTATGTGATATGGAGTGTCAGTGGTACTATGTGATGTGGAGTGTCAGTGATACTATGTGGTGTGGAGTGTCAGTGGTACTATGTGATGTGGAGTGTCAGTGGTACTATTTCATGTGGAGTGTTAGAGGTACTATTTCATATGGAGTGTCAGTGGTACTATGTGATGTGGAGTGTCAGTGGTACTATGTGATGTGGAGTGTCAGTGGTGCTATTTCATGTGGAGTGTCAGTGGTACTATTTCATGTGGAGTGTCAGTGGTACTATGTGATGTGGAGTGTCAGTGGTACTATGTGATGTGGAGTGTCAGTGGTGCTATTTAATGTGGAGTGTCAGTGGTACTATTTCATGTGGAGTGTCAGTAGTACTATGTGATGTGGAGTGTCAGTGGTGCTATTTCATGTGGAGTGTCAATGGTACTATGTGATATGGAGTGTCAGTGGTGCTATTTCATGTGGAGTGTCATTGATACAATTTCATGTGGAGTGTCAGTGGTATTATGTGATGTGGAGTGTCAGTGATACTATTTCATGTGGAGTGTCAGTGGTACTATGTGATGTGGAGTGTCAGTGGTACTATGTGGTGTGGAGTGTCAGTGGAACTATGTGATATGGAGAGTCAGTGGAACTATGTGATTTGGAGTGTCAGTGGTACTATGTGATGTAGAGTGTCAGTTGTTCTATTTCATATGGAGTGTCAGTGGTACTATGTGATGTGGAGTGTCAGTGGTGCTATTTCACGTGGAGTGTCAGTGGTACTATGTGATGTGGAGTGTCAGTGGTACTATGTGATGTGGAGTGTCAGTGATACTATGTGGTGTTGAGTGTCAGTTTTACTATGTGATGTGGAGTGTCAGTGGTACTATTTGATGTGGAGTGTCAGTGGTACTATGTGATGTGGAGTGTCAGTGGTACTATGTGATGTGGAGTGTCAGTGTTGCTATTTCATGTGGAGTGTCAGTGGTACTATTTCATGTGGAGTGTCAGTGGTACTATGTGATGTGGAGTGTCAGTGGTACTATGTGATGTGGAGTGTCAGTGGTGTTATTTCATGTGGAGTGTCAGTGGTACTCTTTCATGTGGAGTGTCAGTAGTACTATGTGATGTGGAGTGTCAGTGGTACTATGTGATGTGGAGTGTCAGTGGTGCTATTTCATGTGGAGTGTCAGTGATACTATGTGATGTGGAGTGTCAGTGGTACTATGCGATGTGGAGTGTCAGTGGTTCTATGTGGTGTGGAGTGTCAGTGGAACTATGTGATGTGGAGTGTCAGTGGTGCTATTTAATGTGGAGTTTCAGTGGTACTATTTCATGTGGAGTGTCAGTAGTACTATGTGATGTGGAGTGTCAGTGGTACTATGTGATGTGGAGTTTCAGTGGTGCTATTTCATGTGGAGTGTCAATGGTACTATGTGATATGGAGTGTCAGTGGTGCTATTTCATGTGGAGTGTCATTGATACAATTTCATGTGGAGTGTCAGTGGTATTATGTGATGTGGAGTGTCAGTGATACTATTTCATGTGGAGTGTCAGTGGTACTATGTGATGTGGAGTGTCAGTGGTACTATGTGGTGTGGAGCGTCAGTGGAACTATGTGATGTGGAGAGTCAGTGGATCTATGTGATTTGGAGTGTCAGTGGTACTATGTGGTGTGGAGTGTCAGTGGTGCTATTTCACGTGGAGTGTCAGTGGTACTATGTGATGTGGAGTGTCAGTGGTACAATGTGATGTGGAGTGTCAGTGATACTATGTGGTGTTGAGTGTCAGTGGTACTATGTGATGTGGAGTGTCAGTGGTACTATTTCATGTGGAGTGTCAGTGGTACTATGTGATGTGGAGTGTCAGTGGTACTATGTGATGTGGAGTGTCAGTGTTGCTATTTCATGTGGAGTGTCAGTGGTACTATTTCATGTGGAGTGTTAGAGGTACTATTTCATATGGAGTGTCAGTGGTACTATGTGATGTGGAGTGTCAGTGGTACTATGTGATGTGGAGTGTCAGTGGTGCTATTTCATGTGGAGTGTCAGTGGTACTATTTCATGTGGAGTGTCAGTGGTACTATGTGATGTGGAGTGTCAGTGGTACTATGTGATGTGGAGTGTCAGTGGTGCTATTTAATGTGGAGTGTCAGTGGTACTATTTCATGTGGAGTGTCAGTAGTACTATGTGATGTGGAGTGTCAGTGGTGCTATTTCATGTGGAGTGTCAATGGTACTATGTGATATTGGAGTGTCAGTGGTGCTATTTCATGTGGAGTGTCATTGATACAATTTCATGTGGAGTGTCAGTGGTATTATGTGATGTGGAGTGTCAGTGATACTATTTCATGTGGAGTGTCAGTGGTACTATGTGATGTGGAGTGTCAGTGGTACTATGTGGTGTGGAGTGTCAGTGGAACTATGTGATATGGAGAGTCAGTGGAACTATGTGATTTGGAGTGTCAGTGGTACTATGTGATGTAGAGTGTCAGTTGTTCTATTTCATATGGAGTGTCAGTGGTACTATGTGATGTGGAGTGTCAGTGGTGCTATTTCACGTGGAGTGTCAGTGGTACTATGTGATGTGGAGTGTCAGTGGTACTATGTGATGTGGAGTGTCAGTGATACTATGTGGTGTTGAGTGTCAGTTTTACTATGTGATGTGGAGTGTCAGTGGTACTATTTGATGTGGAGTGTCAGTGGTACTATGTGATGTGGAGTGTCAGTGGTACTATGTGATGTGGAGTGTCAGTGTTGCTATTTCATGTGGAGTGTCAGTGGTACTATTTCATGTGGAGTGTCAGTGGTACTATGTGATGTGGAGTGTCAGTGGTACTATGTGATGTGGAGTGTCAGTGGTGTTATTTCATGTGGAGTGTCAGTGGTACTCTTTCATGTGGAGTGTCAGTAGTACTATGTGATGTGGAGTGTCAGTGGTACTATGTGATGTGGAGTGTCAGTGGTGCTATTTCATGTGGAGTGTCAGTGATACTATGTGATGTGGAGTGTCAGTGGTACTATGCGATGTGGAGTGTCAGTTGTTCTATGTGGTGTGGAGTGTCAGTGGAACTATGTGATGTGGAGTGTCAGTGCAACTATGTGATGTGGAGTGTCAGTGGTGCTATTTAATGTGGAGTTTCAGTGGTACTATTTCATGTGGAGTGTCAGTAGTACTATGTGATGTGGAGTGTCAGTGGTACTATGTGATGTGGAGTTTCAGTGGTGCTATTTCATGTGGAGTGTCAATGGTACTATGTGATGTGGAGTTTCAGTGGTGCTATTTCATGTGGAGTGTCAGTGGTACTATGTGATGTGGAGTTTCAGTGGTGCTATTTCATGTGGAGTGTCATTGATACAATTTCATGTGGAGTGTCAGTGGTATTATGTGATGTGGAGTGTCAGTGATACTATTTCATGTGGAGTGTCAGTGGTACTATGTGATGTGGAGTGTCAGTGGTACTATGTGGTGTGGAGCGTCAGTGGAACTATGTGATGTGGAGAGTCAGTGGATCTATGTGATTTGGAGTGTCAGTGGTACTATGTGGTGTGGAGTGTCAGTGGTGCTATTTCACGTGGAGTGTCAGTGGTACTATGTGATGTGGAGTGTCAGTGGTACAATGTGATGTGGAGTGTCAGTGATACTATGTGGTGTTGAGTGTCAGTGGTACTATGTGATGTGGAGTGTCAGTGGTACTATTTCATGTGGAGTGTCAGTGGTACTATGTGATGTGGAGTGTCAGTGGTACTATGTGATGTGGAGTGTCAGTGTTGCTATTTCATGTGGAGTGTCAGTGGTACTATTTCATGTGGAGTGTCAGTGGTACTATGTGATGTGGAGTGTCAGTGGTACTATGTGATGTGGAGTGTCAGTGGTGTTATTTCATGTGGAGTGTCAGTGGTACTCTTTCATGTGGAGTGTCAGTAGTACTATGTGATGTGGAGTGTCAGTGGTACTATGTGATGTGGAGTGTCAGTGGTGCTATTTCATGTGGAGTGTCAGTGATACTATGTGATGTGGAGTGTCAGTGGTACTATGCGATGTGGAGTGTCAGTGGTACTATGTGGTGTGGAGTGTCAGTGGAACTATGTTATGTGGAGTGTCAGTGCAACTATGTGATGTGGAGTGTCAGTGGTGCTATGTGATCTGGAGTGTCAGTGGTGCTATGTGATGTGGAGTGTCAGTGGTAGTATGTGATGTGGAGTGTCAGTTACACTATTTGATGAGGAGTGTCAGTGTACTATGTGATGTGGAGTATCAGTGGTTCTATGTGATGTGGAGTGTCAGTGGTACTATGTGATGTGGAGTGTCAGTGGTACTATGTGATGTGGATAAATCACGTTCTGTAATTTGTTTTCAATCGTGTTATTATTAATGATTCGGAAAAAAAAGTTGTGGTGTTGGAAGTTCCAAGTCAACTTACCTCAATGTTGTGGAATCTATAAGCAAAGTAGCCAGGCCGGGGAAGGATCATCACCTGGTGTATGTTAGCAGTGTCTCCCAGGTCCAGCATCCACCAGGGGTATACCAGACCAGGGTTGGAGTGGTAATATGTTGTGATGTTGTTATCCACGGCAAGGTACGGGATGTTACTGTCTATGTACTAAAAAAACATATTAGTAAATGGCAACTTCACAAACTGATAAACTTGATTATTAACAAACTTATATCAAAGAATATTGGACACAAAATATAAAATGTGCACAAAATAAGGTGATTTTTAATGTAAATTCTCCGGTATTAAAGTGTGCCTACTGGAAATAACCTACTGGAATAACCTAACCTAATGTTCTCCAGCCTTGTCTGACCTACAGCTTTACAGCTTCAAGATCACATTAAGTTTGGTTGAGCTGAACTAGCTTATGCTATTTAATTCACTTACCAAGGTAACAATCTTTTCGTTGTCTAAAATATAACAGTTTCTATTGCACAACCCACACAATAAAAAGTACAGAATAAATTTTTTTCTCATTTTTCATATTACATCCTAAATCATTAAATTCGACATTAAATAACTATCTTTTTTCCGTACAATAGTCAATATGGCTGTTATTTGTTAAGTGTACATAATAACAAAAATAATATTTACTGGACTTCCGTAGGTATCGTTGCCTGTAGGCAACTCTGTCAACATGTCTGGTGAATAAGCAGCGACGAATATCACGACTCTGGCGGACACAGCCCAACCTTCACCCTCCAGTGTGCAGGTCGTTCCTCAATAACAAAATAACAACACATAAACAGGAAAATACTGGAGAAAGTTCTCCACCAATGGAAGGCAAGATCCCGAGAAGATACATAGTTCTACTTGTTAGGTAAAAGAACGCAAATGCAACTAATGTGACATCTTATTCTTGCAACTTTTCGCTCTCTAGGAGCTTTGTCGAGCCGTTACGGCTTGACAAAACTCCTGGAGAGCGAAACGTTGCCACAATAAAATGTCACATTAGTTGCACTTGTGTCGTTTTACCTAAAATGTTGTCGATAATTTTACTAACATTAATACATAGTTCTACCTGTCAACAACACTATCAAAAACGTCCTTAAATTCTTTGTCAAAGACATCAGGGTTATTTGTATATTGTTCCAGTCACCGTATTGTGCCTCGTATTCTTTATAGAAAAAAAATGTGTTTTCATGGATAGTCACGAGAAATATTACATTCACTTAAGTGGGTGGCTCTTCAGAATAACACTGACAGTAAGGAAAAGTTGGATATAGATTTAGTGGACCGTGTGTGGTATATTAATATATAATTTTTGGGATTATTAAACACCTATTGATAATCATGAACTACAATAACACATAAATTTCACAGTATACATACACTGAGAAGTATATTTCAGCGTATATATGTCAGGAATTTACTTTAATCCCTATTTAAGGGATTAGAGTGCACTTGTCTGATGGTGAAGTGGTTATGTGTAGCCTTAATGACCCTCTTGAATTCGATAGGCTTGAAACCCAGTAAATTAACCATAACTTTCCAAGAAAACAGGATGTTGTAGATGAATGGTTCAGAGAACCGACATGTTGTTAAATTAGACACATGTGCAACTCTTGGGTATCTTTATTGAGGAAACGTTTCCTTAATAAAGATACCCAAGAGTTGCACATGTGTCTAATTTAACAAAACAAGATGTATACACCGTGAGGTGTTTGTCTCACTGCATATGTTCTGGGTTTACGTTAGTTCCTGACATACAGCCCAGTTGTTGAAAATGATATAAAATTCCGACAAGTTGAAGATTAAGACATATGCGCAACAAATAGGTATCTTTATTGATGAAACGTTTGGCCTACACAGTAGGCTTCCTCAGCCACAGAGGGGGATCTTCCATCTCACCTTCGACAGTATATAAGACTCCAGTCTCCAGGCTGAGGACTGACCACCTCAAATGCTTTTTCTCCAAGGTTGATGGACTTATTACATCATCTTTATTTTACTACACCTGCTGCCTCTGCATTTGACTGAAGATGCCTACTCTGTAGGCGAAACGTTTCATCAATAAAGATACCCAACTGTTGCACATATGTCTTAGTCTGCAACATACAGCCGTTTTGACCCTTTCAGTAGTCAACAGTTTTTAAACCCAATTAACCAAGGAGTCTTCAACTTAACTTGGTTAATGTACTATCAACAATTCATTAAGCAACCTAATTAAAAAATAGTACTTTATTTAAATAGATTAATGAGGATTGATCTGTTCCTGTGAATATGTATATTATTTTGAGTCTGACTTCTTGAAATATCACTCCTTCAGTCTGAAGTCCTCGATTTCATGTGAAGGGTTAACATACAGAACTGATCAAGGTCCCAGGACTAAAACGTTTTCTAATATGTTCTAGTGTTTGTTCATGTGTCTTTCTAAGCAAGTTAGTCGGTATCTATTACCAAGGTTCATACCACACAGTCATACACTAGTGCCCGCATATGCTCTATTTACACTATACTGATTCATCTTATAGTCTTGTAGCACAGGATTCTGTTAATTCTCGTCACCCGTACCTGACTGTTAAATCCTAGTTTAAGGTGTCATTCTAACGGGTGGTGACACTGGCCTACAGATACGACCGTAATTTGACATACTGTTGCACTATTACACAGTCTCAGGTCATGGCGACTCCTACTTGAAATTGGAGGTACTCAGCGCGATACTGTGACGGTAGTTTGCAACCAGCAGTTTAACTCAGTGCCACTCACCAGTGAAGTTGTACTCTAGGGCTTGGTTCTTCATGCAAAGAAGAGCACACACGATCTCGGAGGCTACATTGTAGGACACCTGAGGAAGGGTTATGGGCGTCAACATAGAAACGCACTTAGTCACATTCCCCTGCGGAACCTTGGCTGTATGTGCTCCCACGCTGAGGACTCCGAATGCCAACGTCGACGCTAACGTTATCGACATTATTAGCGGCCCCGCACACACGCCCAACATTACTGGTGAATATGAAAATGGAATACAGTACTGACAGGTTAAGTAAGATACATGTGCAACAGTTAGGTATCTTTATTCCGAAACGTGTCGCCTACACAGTAGGCTTCTTCAGTCAAGTACAGAAAAGTAGCAGACTGGTGTAATAGTCTATCACCCTTGAATACGTATTTACGTTTTCAAGGGTGATAGACTGATTACACCGCCTTCACATCCCTACTGCTTCTGTTGCTTTTCTGTACTCGACTGAAGAAGCCTTCTGTGTAGGCGAAATGTTTCGGAATAAAGATACGTAACTGTTGCACATGTGTCTTACTTATCAACATTACTGGTGCCGCTACTCTGAAAAATGTCACTTCTCGGTATAATACAGTGTGATTTGATATTATGGTTATGGCCTCTTAACAACAGAATTTACACATTTCCTCGTTACTGTGTAAATATATCCTTAATTTACCGCTGAAGAAAAACAGGATACTGAAATAAAAAACCGTATAGCAAAAGTTATAACGTAACCAAAAACAGTACTTACAGCAAGCAATAACAGCAGAAGAAGCGGCGACATGAACAGCTGCTGCATGCAGCAAGTCTTCCCTTATACTAACTTCTCCCAGTCATACTCAGTGTGCTATAAAAACTTTGCCTACGTCAGAAAGTCAAGTTAAATATTTATCAGGGTGCTCTACGAAGAATAACTAAAAGAAGTCAGAAAGTAACACGCACAGCTCTGGAAAATGACAAGACGGAACAAAATAATCGTTTAACAGAGCACTGACAGTCACAGATGTAGGTAAGACACACAGGCAACAGTTAGGCAACTTTATTCCGAAACGTTTCAGAATAAAGTTGCCTAATTGTTGCCTGTGTGTCTTACCTACCAACATTTCGGCATTGTATACCATTTTGATATTCAGTCACAGATTTAGCTCCTTACAGTTGATGTCCCTCACACTTGTTATGTGATTACTACACTGTGAAGGATTGTTGTTTTTATTACTACACTGTGAAGGATTGTTGTCTTTATTACTACACTGTGAAGGATTGTTGTCTTTATTACTACACTGTGAAGGATTGTTGTCTTTATTACTACACTGTGAAGGATTGTTGTTTTTATTACTACACTGTGAAGGATTGTTGTTTTTATTACTACACTGTGAAGGATTGTTGTTTTTATTACTACACTGTGAAGGATTGTTGTCTTTATTACTACACTGTGAAGGATTGTTGTTTTTATTACTACATTGTGAAGGATTGTTGTTTTTATTACTACACTGTGAAGGATTGTTGTTTTTATTACTACACTGTGAAGGATTGTTGTCTTTATTACTACACTGTGAAGGATTGTTGTCTTTATTACTACACTGTGAAGGATTGTTGTCTTTATTACTACACTGTGAAGGATTGTTGTTTTTATTACTACACTGTGAAGGATTGTTGTTTTTATTACTACACTGTGAAGGATTGTTGTTTTTATTACTACACTGTGAAGGATTGTTGTCTTTATTACTACACTGTGAAGGATTGTTGTTTTTATTACTACATTGTGAAGGATTGTTGTTTTTATTACTACACTGTGAAGGATTGTTGATTTTATTACTAAACTGTGAAGGATTGTTGTTTTTATTACTAAACTGTGAAGGATTGTTGTTTTTATTACTAAACTGTGAAGGATTGTTGTTTTTATTACTAAACTGTGAAGGATTGTTGTTTTTATTACTACACTGTGAAGGATTGTTGTTTTTATTACTAAACTGTGAAGGATTGTTGTTTTTATTACTAAACTGTGAAGGATTGTTGTCTTTATTACTACACTGTGAAGGATTGTTGTCTTTATTACTACACTGTGAAGGATTGTTGTCTTTATTACTACACTGTGAAGGATTGTTTTTTACTACACTGTGAAGGATTGTTGTCTTTATTACTACACTGTGAGGGATTGTTGTTTTTATTACTACACTGTGAAGGATTGTTGTTTTTATTACTAAACTGTGAAGGATTGTTGTTTTTATTACTAAACTGTGAAGGATTGTTGTCTTTATTACTACACTGTGAAGGATTGTTGTCTTTATTACTACACTGTGAAGGATTGTTGTCTTTATTACTACACTGTGAAGGATTGTTTTTTACTACACTGTGAAGGATTGTTGTCTTTATTACTACACTGTGAGGGATTGTTGTCTTTATTACTACAATGTGAAGGAGTGTTGTTCCTGTTGCTACACTGTGGGAGATTGTAGGTGAATGGTATACGGTATCGACAAGATGAAAATTAGACACATGTGCAACATCTGGGTATCTTTATTGCAGACGTTTCACCATCCAGTGGCTTTATCAATACATATTCAAGAACATATTAGGAAGACAGTAGAACTATATACAAAAAATGAGGTAAAGCCCCTCAGCCTTGCTACACGTCCTTACCACCTGACGCCAGTATATCAGCGCCAGCCTTCTTGCCTGTGCTCCACATTAAATGGTTATAACTATATATACCATAATTTCTAAAAAGGTGAACCGGTAAGCCCTCGGAAGGCCTCGGTCAGATGACCAAAAGCTTCAACGCCAGGTCATCATATGACTAAGACCCGCCTCAGGAAACACTTGTCCTGTTTCCTGACGAACCTTACCTAACCTAACCTAACCTTGCCTATGCTCCAGACTGTTCACGACTACGGTGCTCTTCAGCAACTCCAAGGCTGAGGGACTGATTACCTCATCTTTTGTACATAGTTCTACTGTCTTCCTATTATGTCTTTGAATTTGTATTGATAAAGACACATGTTTTGCATGTCTAATTTTTACTCTTAAAAGAACAAGGAATTGGAATAATCCAATCTAAGTAACGTAAGTCAGTATTAAAGATTTGAAACCGATTAGTAGAAACAATTTCCTTTATCCCAATTTGTTAAATTAAGGAGTTAAAATTGGGAGTTATACTGACCACTAACACTAAGAATTTTCCTCTGCCATGGTAACATAATGCTATGTTCTCAACCTCGTAAATGGAGTGAAAGATCGCCGTGCCTCGTATGATGTAGCAGGCGAGATCGGCAGCAGATGAAGCAATATCACACTTGGGAAATCATAACTTCTTTTAATAACTTTATTATGCACTTCAGTACCCATCTTGTAGACGGTAGTCAATAAATTACAGAGGTACACAATGAGTCCGGGGACTGGACCTCACTCTCTTCATAGGCTAGCGAGCTACAGCGGCAATAAACTATTCACTAGTTATTGTTCTGTTAACAGTCGTAATAAGATGATCGTGTTGACCTGTAGTCTCCCATAGCAACAAATTACTCTGTGAATATGATAATGGTGTACAAGTTTAAAAGTTTGACGTGTTGAAAATTATTTAAATTAACGACAGGTTGAAGATTAAGACACATGTGCAACAGTTAGGTATCTTCATTCTTCTTCAGTCGAATTCAGAGACAGCAAAAACAGTAGAGATGTGAAGACGATGTAATCAGACGTAATTTTGAGGTGATCAGTCCCACAGCCTGGAGAAAAGATCTCCTCCGAAGTCTGGAACAATGTGAAACGTTTCGGAATAAAGATACTTAACCGTTGCATATGTGTCTTACTTATAAAATTACCAGGTGTTCCTCTTGTGTGTTGCTTCCTTGAAGACAACTCAAGAACAAGACAAGGTCATAATTCAGTGAGCTTATAAAATGTATGTCTTGACAGTATCGTTATATACTCACTGTACAGTGTCCACTTTCTCATGAACTGTAAACATGTGTATTGTTCAAGTTTTATCTCGAGTGGTGTCATTAATCCTGGATATTTATTAAAGGAAACGTTTCGCCACGAGAGGCTTGATGGGTCCTGGTAAATATTGGGACTAATAAAACCACTATTAGCAAAAAGTTTCCTTTGATAAATGTCCTAAACTCGACTCCTGGCTGAGGGAGTGATTACCTCAAATTCCTCTTCTATTCAAGAACATAGAAAAGAGGAACACTGCAACAGGCCTACTGGTCCACTAGCAAAAGTATTCGTACAACCCCTTTTCAGTGCTACAAAAGCAATAAGCCCCGATAACCCTCTTACTCATAAGAACACTAGAAAGGAGGAACACTGCAGCTGATTAACCGGCCCACACTAGGCAGGTTCCCCTCAAGCCCAAAACGAAACCTACAAACAAAAACACCTTCCCAACCCCACCTTCAGCTCCATCCATGGAATAAGTTTTGATAACCAGGGCAATGTTAAAGAAGGTACTGAAGGAATTGGTCCAGCACCAGGGTACTGAAGCACCTGGTCCGTCACCAGGGTATTGAAGTCCCTGGTCCATCACCAGGGTACTGAAACCCATGCTCCATCTCCAGGGTTCTGAAGCACCTGATCCATCACCAGGGTACTGAAGCACCTGGTCCATCACCAGGGTAATAGAACACCTGGTCCATCTCAAGGGTTCTGAAGGATCTTGTCCATCACCAGATAAGTGAAGCACCTGGTACATCACCAGGGCACTGAAGCACCTTGTCCATCACCAGGGAAATAGAACACCTGGTCCATCACCAAGGTACTGAAGCCCATGCTTCATCTCCAGGGATCTGAAGCACCTGGTCCATCATCAGGGTACTGAAGCACCTGGCCCATCGCCAGGGTACTGAAGTACCTGATCCATTACCAGGGTACTGAAGTACCTCATCCATCACCAGTGTACTGAAGCATATGATCCATCACCAGGGTACCGAAGCACCTGGTCCATCACCAGGGTACTGAAGCACCTGATCCATTACCAGAGTACTGAAGCACCTGGTCCCTCACCAGGGTACTGAAGCCCGTGGTCCATCAGCAGGGTGCTGAAGTAGCTGATCCATTACCAGGGTACTGAAGTACCTGATCCATCACTAGGGTACCGAAGCACATGATCCATTACCAGGGTGCTGAACTACCTGATCCATCACCAGGGTACTGAAGCACCTGATCCATTACCAGGGCACTGAAATACCTAA